GGCTGGGCTGGGGGCGGCCGAGGCCTCGGCGGCGCCGGCCCCGGGGGGATGCGGGCAGGGCCGCCCGCGGCCTCCGGGAGCGGTCGGTCTTCCAGCAGTGACTCTTGTGCCAAGGCCTGAGTGTTGGTGTGAATACGACTGGAAGTTAATGTTTAGGCTGCTGTTACAACTTTTTGGAAAGAGGCTGTGCCTACTCGAGTGTTTTATTAAGTAGTGAACTTTGTTGCTAAGCTATAAAATAGGTTTTATTATTGGCTATTGTCACTTTTATCTGTGTAGCCAGTAGGAGTGAAACTTGCTCAGTGTACTGGTGCCTGGTGCTCTTGTTGTTAAGGGTCTGTCAACATTTCCATTATTAAACTTCTGTTTTGAGGGATTTATAACTTGGCTTCAGAAATTCACTCTAGGCTGAACCTTGGCACGTACTCTCTCGGCCAGGGAGTTAATTCATTTTCCAACTACTCGAAAAATCAGTCTGGCCTTCATATTGCAGGACCGAAAAGAAAATAGAAAGGGGTGGGGCTCAGTTGCTTCTGTAGCTTTTGGTTGCTTCTGAGTTGCAGACTTCAATAGCATACTGAAATCCAGCGAGGAATAAAGTTATTACGAGTAGTTTTTTCTAAGTTTTGCAGCTCTTATCGCAGTTCCGTGGTGCACACATGCGAACGGGTATACATTCACCTAACAGTTGGTGCTGTGTCTTGTTAAACACGGTAACTGCATTTAAATAGCTGTCGCCTTTGAAAGGCACTTAACGTGTGTGACGTTCATACAACTTGTACTTTTAAGCTTAGCGTTATCTTGCTTGTGTATATTACTCTTCATCTGTAATGCATATTTAGTTGGATCACTGTTCCTTGTACCAGTCGGTGGTTCCTAAAACATAAATCTGAAATCCAGCTAAAGCCAGAGAAGCATCTGGTTCGCTGTGGACTGTCTTTTTTAAAAAAGACTGTTTTCATTTTCCTTTTCGTTTCATTGTGCCACAAAAATACTGTTTAACAGAAAAGGTCTTTTAAGTTTCTGTAATTCTCCTACTTTCTCAAGAATTAAAATTCCCCAAATTCAGTTGATATGCAACTTGTGTATTTTGTTTAAATGTAAGCTAATTCGTTACCAGTTTAATATATGAAACTTAACGTGTGCTTGCATACAGATGTAGTGAAACAGAATTGTAGGTTCTCCATAAGAGTACATAAATGGGGCCTCATATAAGGTGCAATACCTTGTGTAGAGAGGTGTGGTAGGGGCTGATACATGCATCTTATTATAGGTGTCCCTGTCTTTGGTCTATTTACAAAATCAGTTAATTGGTAAATATATTTTACAGAGTCAATATTACTTCATTCCAGTTTTCAGAGCTGCTTTTTCTGTTTCACGGTGGACACGTATTTACTACTGGCACGAAAGTTTTATGTACTTACGACTGGTAACTCTGGTGAATGATGAGTCATTTCTGATTGACTGGTTAAACAGTTTGCTGAAGCTTTGCTTTAGCTAAAGCGCAGACAGACTCTTTATAAGCTCCCAGTACCCTTAAAAGTGTGGTTTGCATGCGTTTTAGGAAATTTGGTGTTGTTATATAGGTTTTGTGGGTTTTTTAATGTTTGAGTTCAGGAGTCTTCCTCCGTTGGAACTCACTGCTGTCGATGGGCATTTCTGTGGCTTTTCTCCTTGTGTAATCTTTTTAAACCCCTGCAGAGGGTGTATGTGTGGGTGTCCTTGCACCCCCACACCGCAGTTTCAAAAGGAGAGTGGGAAATTAACTCCTTCAGCATAAAGTGGGTGCATTGGTAATGGGTGGGTGTAGTCCAGTAACAAACCAGGCCGTATGCTGTATGAGGACTGCTGACTGTGGCCATGTTTTTTTTCTTAACACTGAACCAAGGAATAAGAACTTTAGTTTTCAAAATAAAACTGAGGGCACTTAGCACATACTTACAGTTAATATTTCTTGACTTACATAAGGGCTTTGTGATGCTAATTAACCAACCTACTTGGAGGCTCTCTTGAACAGAAACAATTGGAAAATAAGCAGAACTTCCGAATGACTAACTTAAGAATTTCTTCTGAAAGGTTCATTTAAAGTGAAATGTCTTCTGACAGCTGTATTTCTGCTGAAATCTAAGAATCTTAATGGGAATAATTTCACTCCTGGCAGGCCAGCACTGATGCAGGGACAGCAGGAGCCCTGACCCCACAGCATGTCCGAGCTCATTCCTCTCCAGCATCACTTCAGCTGGGAGCTGTTTCTCCAGGGACTCTTACACCCTCTGGAGTAGTGACTGGACCCGGAGCTCCATCTTCCCAACATCTCCGCCAGTCGTCATTTGAGATCCCTGATGATGTACCATTGCCACCAGGTTGGGAGATGGCTAAGACACCATCTGGACAGAGATACTTTCTTAAGTAAGTAAAACTTGTTTTCAGTTAGCTTTATCTCTGGCATTTTTTGTTGTGGGTTGTGGGGTTTTTTTATAAGTACAGTCTCTGAATTTTAGTAAGTTTGTGTTTAAAGTAACGTATTTTTAAAAACATGCTCCTGACTTTAAGTAGGAGATCCTACCACTTCCCATATCAAGTCTCTGCTGGTTCTCAAAACTTTATGGTACTCTGTGAATATTTATCCTATCTTAATCTTAGCTGAAGAATGTTATCCATTATGTTGTATACTAAAAATTAGTGAAATGCACATAGTGATTTTTAAATAATGTGAGATTCGGATTTGCTGAATCTTCCCAGAGTTCTTGTGCAGGTCAACATACGTTTCACCTCATTTTTATGACATAGATGTAAAAATACAGAGAAATTTTAGAAATTATCGTGGTGAGAATGTATCAGGACTTCTTAATTTTTGAACAAGGACAATTGTGTAAGTACGCAATCAAAACATTTTTGCCTACTTTCTAATCACAAGGAAATTAATACATGTGTGTATTTGCAGTATTAGGGTCATCTACGTTCCCTGCAGTGAAAGGGAAATTGCAGAACTTCTAACATTGTTTCTTGTTCCTACAGCTGTAGCGTTTTCACACAGTGAAATTATTATCACCTTTTTCTATAACTGAAAGAGAGGTTACACATGCCAACCATCTGACACCTAATTCATCAGGGAGCATTTTCTTTTATGCTGTGTAGTTTTCTAAAACAGCAGGAGCTTGTCCTTCTTCCTGAAAGTATGCCCACCAAGACACATAATTGGCTCTCAAATATTTTGACTATATTTTGAACATTTTATTTAACTGCAAGTCTCTAAATAACCCATTATATGTCATTTTCAGGGCTGGGAGAGGGGAGGGCAGCATAGTGTGTTATTTATGTAAAACCTGTTTCAGCCAAGAAAAACATCTTTATCCCTACCTTTCTTGCTAAAACATTGTCATTAATATATGCATTTGGTTGAAGTAGTTGAGTTTGTAGCTTCAAAAACAAATTTACGTTGTCTGCAACGAAAATGGAACTTGTAGAACTTCTTAAAAGCATTGCTTGTTCCTGTAGCAGTGGTGTTTCCATACAGAAGTTAGCATCAGTCTTTTTTAACCAAAAAGAGGTTATGGCAGTTGTCTGAGGTCATTTGAGACTGAAGGTTACTTTTTGAAAACAATCATTCTGTATTAGGAATACGAAAATGAGCATTAGCTATAGATCTAAAAGATGTGATATTTTCTTCGGTGAAGTTTAACAAATCAGTGTATTCTAGAATGTGAGCTCTTTCAGTGGGCACAAATAGAATTTTTTTTCAACTGTGCAAGTTTATGCCATTTGACAATTGTAGCTCATTGGACCCTGAGGAAAGCACATACAGTTTTAAAATGAAAAGCAAACTTTGTGCTACTGAGAACTCTTTAAGAGCAGCTTATGAAGTATGAAAAATAGATATTTGATTTCTAAGTTTTACTGTCATGAGTGTGTGTTTGATAATGCTGTCAGTTTTACAGAAATCAAACAGTTTAAGAGATGCAAAATGTCTTCACGGTCTTACTGATGTTTTTAAAAATTTTGTTCATTCAGGTGAAATCAGAGTGAAAGGTTTGTTCTTGGAAAGCTTCAGTTTCATTATTACCAGAAAAAATCTTTTCCTTTTTTTTCTGCAAGTTTTTTTTGTCCTTTCTTGGTGTCCTGGTATCCATTTCAAAGGGTCAGGTTTCAGCAAGAACAATAAAGAGCCTGAGACTGGAAAGTACACACAAGTCTGGCAAACTCATCTGCATGAGCAAGATCATTTGTTCTCAAGCAGACATCCAAAGTAAATGATTGAAAGAGCTGCTAGCTGTGAAGGATGTGTCTTGAAGGGGAAAGGAGTGGAAACAAACCAGGTTGTTAGGAAGAAAAATAAAGGCTGTACTTTTTGAACCTCTCCCTGCTGGGTCACATGCTGACCTTGGGAGATTTTAAACAGCTTAATGGGCTGTTTTCTTTTGGCTTTCCTTGGGTGATGCTGTGGTATGGGAGAGTCTAATGAGGACAGTTCTGAAGGCTCTGTTCACACTTGGAGAACATTTGTTGTTCCTGAAATGTTGGTTAATGCTCTCTACAGGTGAGATCCACCAACTTCATTGGAGTTCAAGATTTGTAAAAAAGCCATTTCAAGTACTAGCAAAATGTTTGTTTTGTATGTTCAGGAAACCCCAAAAAATGTAAGAATTATTTTTGAGTAGTAAGTTTGTATTTCAGAAGCTTTTTTCAGGGTTGAGTGGTAAGTTCTGTCTCCTACTGCAAGCCCATTAAAACTCTTATCTAGTTATACCTTAAATATTTGCTCGAAGCGTGAGTACTAAGGTTCCTGATGCTAAATACATTTAATGTGATTCCTTCTACCATATGCAGATTTTTGGTGTCTCTTCCAAGTATTCAGCTTTTTTGGTGGATTGGCTGCATTGCTCTTTGTTTCCATTTGCTCTGTTGTGTAGCCACTCCATGAAAAGTCTGGTAATCGGGCTCTAGAAAGATCTTTTTCAGAATAGGTAACAGTATTAGATTTTTTCCAGATGTCAGTAAGCCTTATGGTTATAGTTATCATAATATACTACAGTGCAAACAGAATAATATAAAATGGAGTACTGTACGTGGTACAGTCTGGAGTAGAGTCACTTCCACTAATCAGTGGGTCAAGCACTGCAGCATAGTAGTTTGTGTGGAGAAATGAAAGTAGCGTGTATGGGAGAGAAAATACTTGTCTGTATATATAGATATATGCACAGAGTTATTTGGCCAGATATTTTATATACACACCACTTGTATCCATACATATTAAAAGAGGATGAGAGTGGCAGTGTAGGGTCTGAACCAGAACTACTCTTGTCAATCAGTCTGTCATCTAGGTAAAGAGACCCTTTTATGTATGAATGCCCAACACACAGTTTGCCAGAATTCTGCTTACTAGTATTCATCTCACTGTTATGAGTAAGACTCCTGAATATAATTTTCCATTACTGAAAATGCAGGTGATTTTGGTCAGTGACATGCTTGCTATACAGATGGTAAAACTAATACTATTTTTTACTGAAGCTGCAACTTGAATAGAGCTCATAAGTTAAGACCTGCCTGGTTAGTAAGTGGTCACATCTGAGTCATCTCAGCATTGCTGTGCGGTATGCTTTAGCCCATTCTTAAACATGCAGTAAAAAAGACTTGCTTGGTTTGTGTGGTGATGTCAACTGCATTGCTTTTTAACCACTTCCTGTTAGCCAGCTGCTGGTTGACATTTCAGTGAACTATGGAGAAAGATAGGGGATTGCTCTCTAGGCAAAAGATAATATGCCACGGGAGTAGCAGATAACAACTTGCAGGAAAAAAAAAAAAAGTTTTAATCAATTTTAGAATTACTCTTGTATAATTTTAACTTAGTGTTATACTTCCAGTTCTTACTAAGCTGGTGTAATACCTCTTCTCATTTTGTAGTGTGAGGAAAAGTTAACTGATTGTCCAGCAAACCAATCTTGTAAGTATTTTTCCTACAGGAAGTAGTTCTTGCAAGCAGTTTATCAACAACTTCCTATTTTTTTCTGTGAAGTGTTGAATGACTTCCTGAAGGAGGCCAAGGTGGTTTTCATTAGTATCTGTGGGTGTGTTTGAGGTGTTTACCCATTTGGCAGAAACTTTAAAAATAGATTGCTGTTACACGTTTCTTACATGCTCTATACAGAGGTATGGCTTCGGTTGTTATGAAACCAAATCATTTTAAGATAACAGGGAAGTTTGTTGCTGTGCTTTTTGTTTTTTTTTTTTCTCATGTCACACATGAAAAATATCCAGTAATGCTGTTAAATTTCTCTCGCATCCCATTTTTGCCCCTGACTAGAACCACCCACTATACTATCATCTACCTCTCTTTCCCCCACTCTACCAAAGTAATCTTAGTCTTCCAGGGCAGATGTTTATTGGAAAAACTGCTGCCACAGTTACATGTTTTATTGAATACCTTAATTTACTGGGGAAATGCATATTCAGAATCATCAGTTAATACGAGTTCTTGTATTTACAATTCAGGCTAGTTTGTCATTAAAAGGGGCTGTATTGTTGGAAACCAAAACTGCAACCACTGCTTTTGATAGGTTTGTCCACTTTTCATGCTTTTTATACTAAAAAGCAGTTGAAGATTTTTGTTTGCTAAATTTTATTTGTAATATGTCAAGTTTCATTTTTATATTGATTATTTCTGAGAGTTTATGAAAATATTAATAAGATCGATGATCTATAAAGAAAAGCTGTGAGATTTGTTCAGGGGAAAATGGGCACTGTTGGTTTCAGACCATAGCTGGAGGAAAGAACTATTAGTTAAAACACTTTTAAAGTAAAACATACTGTGGTATGTTTTATTTCCATATCTTTAAAAAGGTGAAGGAAGAATAAGGGCAAACCTGCCTTATTTGTGTTAGCACTGAGATTGAGCTGGGAGGAGGGTTAAAGTACATCTTCAGCCCTCTGAATTCAGAGAACTTTCAGCCAGCTTAGTGGGTGGGCATCAGTAAAAGCAGTGGCACACAGTGCTTTTCTTGTGTTTAGGTTTGTTTTGCTTAAGAAAAATTGCAAACAGTGATATCCATACATTCAATACTCTGCCATACAAGGTGATTGCATAAGACTATTGGAAAAACTGTTTAATAGATGTGATTTCAGGTAAACCAAAAACATACCCTGTGGTTTTCACCAATGTGTTTTCCTTTTATTTATAAGCATGTAGGAATTTATTATCTTTAGAAGAAAGTAGAACTGGGGAAAAATACAGCATCTGTGACAGGTAGTTGTAAGTTAATTAAATTATCTCTGCAGACTTTTTTTTTTTTTTTTAATGGGCTGTTGATCTGTACCTGTCTTACTCCCATAGACTTTTGCCTTTCAGTGTATCTCTCATAAAAATAATCTTTGTGCTTTATAATGTCTGATTTGGTGCCTATTGAATTTTTTCC